GGAGGTTGTAGACTCTCTCTGTTGCCCTTTCTCCCCCCCCAACATTTTTAAGGGCAGGCTTCATCCATTTTGAGCCTTTTGTTCCTGCCCCTTCCCCCCCCCCCCGCCGCCTTTTGTTTGTCGACCTTGCAAATGCTTTGTTTGCCCACTGATTGGGCTTTCCTGTGACTCCTCAGTACACAGGCTGTTCTGGAGCACACTTGGAATCCTGCACCAGTTTTGGTCCCCACGATGTAAAAAAGATGTTGGGACTCTGGAAAGAGTGCAGAGAAGAGCAACAAAGATGATCAGGGGACTGGAGGCCGAAGCATATAAGAAAAGGTTGCTGGAATTGGGTATGTCTAGTTTAATGAAGAGAAGGACGAGGGGGGACAGGACAGCAGTCTTCCAGTATCTCAGGGGTTGCCCCAAAGAAGAGGGAGTCAAGCTATTCTCCAGAGCGCCTGAAGGCCAGACAAGAAGCAACTAGGAGGGAAACTAATCAAGGAGAGAAGCAACCTGGAACTAAGGAGAAGTTTTCTGACAGTGAGAACAATTAATCAGTGGAACAACCTGCCTCCAGAAGTTGCAAATGCTCCAACATTGGAGGTTTTCAAGAAGAGACTGGACAGCCATTTGTCTGAAATGGTGGTAGGGTCTCCTGCTTGGGCGGGGGATGGACTAGCAGACCTTCAAGGTCCCTTCCAACTCTGTTATTCTCTTATTCTGATTTTGTGTGCCCAGCCTGCATTTAGGGCTGTTGGCAACATCTTGTGGTCCTGTGATTGATTTGCAACAGGGGTCTTCAAACTTGGCAACTTTATGACTAGTGGACTTCAACTCCCAGAATTCCTCAGCCAGCCCCTGATTTACAAGATTTTTGCTAGAAACTGGCATTTCCTTCCTGTTTCCAGGGAAAAAAATAGCCCCTAGCAAACCATGGCTTTGCTTAATGACCGCTGTGTTTGCTTAGCGACTGCCCTATTTACTTTACAACCGCTGTGTTTGCGTAACATTGCTGCGTGTTAGTTTACGACTGCCACGTCTGCTTAATGTCTGCCACCAAAAAAGGTTGTAAAATCAAGCCGTTCCTGTGATGACCTGCTTTACAACCCATCGGGACTTAGGACCGTAATTGCCAGACTCGGTTACAGTCGTAAGTCAAGGACTGCTTAGACAGCCACGAAGTGCCAGCTCTCAAGCTGGGACTGCACGCATTTCATCCACCCAAACGTTGAGAATTGGCATCCACGTATCATCCTTGGGAATACATGATGGGTTTTTGGCCCCTCTCCAAGCATAATAAACCCAAAGTTCTTCGTAAATAGGCAAATTCCAGATTTTTAGAATATGTTTTTTTTTTGGGCAGCACGTTGACACCTTTTAAATTTTGGCTGGTTCCCAAGGAGTGGGTTTATCGTAATAACAAAACTGCAAAGAAAAAGATTGAAGCATGTCGCAGAACGAGCCAGACAACTGAAAAACATTATGATAGCAAGTTTGATCTTAACAATAACAATAACAATAACAGTAGTAGTAGTAGTAGTAGTAGTAGTAGTAGTAGTAGTAGTAGTAGTAAAGTTGAAAGGGACCTTGGAGGTCATCTCGTCCAACCCCTTGCTCAGGCAGGATACCCTATGCCATTATTATTATTATTGTTGTTGTTGTTGTTGTTGTTGTTGTTGTTGTTAGATAGCGCCCAGTGTTCAAGTCTGTCCAGATCCTCCTGTATCCTAAGCCTGTCTTCTGGAATATTGGCTATTCCTGCCAGCTTGGCGTCATCTGCAAATTTGATGAGTTCCCCATCTATCCCCTCGTCCAAATCCTTGATGAAGATGTTGAAGATGCAGACCAGCCAAACCCCCGCAGCCAGAAGAGGGTGCCAATTGTCTACTAAATCAGAGGTCCCCAACCTTTGGGGCACCAGGGACCGGTTCCGTGGGGAGAGGTTTTTCCGTGGACCGGACGGTGTGTGGTTTTGTGTGCTGCCTGCATCCCATGGATGGGGCTTTGCTTGTTTGTGCGGACTGGTTGCTGGCATGCCGTGGCCCAGTACCGGTCCACAGACCAGGGGTTGGGGACCCCTGTACTAGATGGAATGGGAAGAAAAACTAAACACTAGGTAGGGGTTTTAAAGATTCTGTGTGTTAGGGTGTGTTTGGGTGTGTGTGTCTCAGAAAGAGAGAGAGGGAGGGAAAACAAGAAGACCGATTAAACCTGATACTTTCTCAATATTGTAAATGAGGGAGTCTTTTTTTTTTATTATAAATTTTTATTATTTAAACCAACAAAACAAAACATAACACACATATATACACAGTATATATTTTAACAGAAATTTCGTAACAGTAATCTTCTATTATTTACATTTCCCCCCCCCCCTTATTCTTCTTTGGAGTATTTGTCCTTGTTGCCCCATTATTTCTTATTTGCATTTTTCTTCCTTCATAATTATTATACACACATTTTCCACTTTTAACCTTTCCACATTTATTCTTTCTTATTTCTACTTTCCAGCCAGTCATGCCACTTGCTCCATATTAAATAGTATTCTGTGTCTTCCTTTTCTTTTATCTCTTTTGTTAATTTGTCCATCTCAGCACAGTCCAGGATTTTCTTTATCACTTCTTCCTCTGATGGTATATTCTCATTTTTCCAGAACTGTGCGTATGCTATTCTTGCTGCCGTTGTTATTGTTTAACTAAGCAAGCCTTCGAGCAGGAAAACCAGAGCTGGTTTCACTTCCTCTGTGCCAATGTAGATTTTCAGTAAAGTATTATATATACTCTTGGTAAAATAATAATAATAATAATAATAATAATAATAATAATAATAATAATAATAATAATAATAATAATAATAATAATAAAGTTGGAAGGGACCTTGGAGGTCATCTAGTCCAACCCCCTGCTCAGGCAGGAAACCCTACACCATTCCAGACAAATGGCTGTCCAGTCTCTCCTTAAAAACTTCCAGTGTTGGAGCATTCACAGCTTCTGGAGGCAGGTTGTTCCACTGGTTAATTGTTCTAACTTTCTCCTTAGTTCAAGGTTGCTTCTCTCCTTGATTAGTTTCCATCTGTTGCTTCTTGTTCTCCCTCCAGGTGCTTTGGAGAAGAGCTTGACTCCCTCTTCTTTGTGGGCAGCCCCTGAGATACTGGAAGGCTACTATCATGTCCCCCCTCGTCCTTCTCTTCGTTAAACTAGACATCCCCAATTCCAGCAACCGTTCCTCATATGTTTTAGCCTCCAGTCCCCTGATCATCTTTGTTGCTCTTCTCTGTACTCTTTCTAGAGTCTCAAGAGTTTCTTTTTCTGGAAACGCCAACTGGACAGTTGATAAAAACCCTAAACATGACTTATCCATGTTCCTGGATTTCTTACAAAGGGTCAGGTGCAAAAACAATGAAGAATCTGATCAACTGGTAGAGCACGGCCGTGTGTTTAGTGATCATTCAATGTTACGACGGCACTGAAAAAAAACGTTGTTCACACCTGTGACTGTGGCACCATCCCTGAGGCCACGTGATTCAGAACTGGATGCTTGGCAACCGGTTCCTATTTATTATGGCGGCAGGGTCCCTGGGATCACGTGATCCCCTTTTGCGACCCTCAGACAAGCAAAGTCAATGGGAAAGCCCGATTCGCTTAACAGATGTGTTCCTAACTTTAACAAGGGCAGTGATTCGCTTAGCAACCGTCAGAGGAATGGTTGCTAAATGGGAAAAAACCTGCTTAACAACCGTCTTGCTTAGCAACGGAAATTTTGGACTCATAAGTCATAATTTGTGGGTATAAGTCAAGGACTACCCGTGTGGGTTTTGCTACAGCAGGGGTAGGCAACCTTGGCTCTTTTATGACTGATGGACTTCAACTCCCAGAATTCCTGAGCCAGCCTGGCTCAGCTTGGAAACCTCTCCCTTTCCCCTCAGCATGGCTGGCTCAGGAATTCTGGGAGTTGAAGTCCACCAGTCATGAAGGGGCCAAAGTTTCCCTCATGCTGGCTCAGGAATTCTGGGAGTTGAAGTCCACAAGTCATGAGGGGGCCATAGTTCCCCCATGCTGGCTCAGGAATTCTGGGAGTTGAAGTCCACGAGTCATAAAAGAGCCAAGGTTGCCTATCCCTGGACATGGGTGACAGCCAGCAGGGCCTCCGGATACAAATTACCTGGATTCAGCTGATGACCTTTTGATAATTAAATCTTTCATCATTTTTTATATCTTCTGGCAGACACACAAACACACACGCCTCCTGTTTTGGGTTAATAATTTTGTTCTAGGACAAGGGTAGGCAACCTTGGCTCTTTTATGACTCGTGGACTTCAACTCCCAGAATTCCTGAGCCAGCATGGGGGAACCATGGCCCCCTTCATGACTTCTGGACTTCAACTCCCAGAATTCCTCAGCCAGCATGGGGGAACCATGGCCCCCTTCATGACTTCTGGACTTCAACTCCCAGAATTCCTCAGCCAGCATGGGGGAACATGGGGGAATATTATTATTACTTCTGGAGTTCAACTCCCAGAATTCCTCAGCCAGCATGGAGGAACCATGGCCCCCTTTATGACTCGTGGACTTCAACTCCCAGCATTCCTGAGCCCGCCATGCTGAGGGGAAAGGGAGAGGTTTCCAAGCTGATCCACGCTGGCTCAGGAATTCTGGGAGTTGAAGTCCACCAGTCATAAAAGAGCCAAGTTTGAAGATCCCTATCCTAGGCCTAGAGTCTAGACCTGGGGTAGTCAACCTTGGCTCTTTTATGACTGGTGGACTTCAACTCCCAGAATTCCTGAGCCAGCATGGCTCAGCTTGGAAACCTCCCTTTCCCCTCAGCATGGCTGGCTCAGGAATTCTGGGAGTTGAAGTCCACCAACTCATAAAAGAGCCGAGGTTGCCTTACCCCTATAGGGGAGGACATGGAATGTATAAAATGTCCCAGTCACCAGCTTAATCTTTCTTTTTTCTTTCTTTTTTTCCCTCTCCCCACCTTAGGACACGGCAATTCTCGGTTCATCACAGAGGGGGATGGAAAATTCTTCCGTGGCTTCTGCCTCTTCTGAGGCAGGAAGCAACCGGTCACAGGAAATCGAGGAGCTGGAAAGATTCATCGACAGCTATGTTTTGGAATATCAAGTCCAAGGCTTGCTGACCGAAAAAACCGAAGGGGATGAAGAGAACGAGAAAACACAGTCCAATATCTCGCAGGTGGGTAGTGGACCTTGAGTGGGTCACTCCCACTGGCTTCAAAACACAAAAAGGGGCATAACAGTGGTGAGAAGAAGGACAATCCCTGCAGAACCGAACAAGAGGTTGGATGTTTTTGAGTTAGTTGCAAACTGTGTGTTTTAAATCGGGTGTGGACACCGTTTTAACAAACCAGCAAGTTTGCAGGATCCAATCTGGGTCGGTCACTGGGACCAGAGTTTTTTGTCTTCCGAGTTTTCGGAGTCGTGCTGGGAGCCCATCTTTGGGGAACTTCTCTCTAGCAGAGTGGGTGCTGTTCTGTGGGTGGTATTTGTTAGTGTCTGTTGTGTGTGGCTTTTTGTCAACTGTTCAGTTGGCATTTCCAGAAAAAGAAACTCCTGGGACATGATTTTACCAAGAGTATAATTGTTGTTGTTGTTGTTGTTAGTTGCGAAGTCGTGTCCGACCCATCGCGACCCCATGGACCACGTTCCTCCAGGCCTTCCTGTCCTCTGCCATCTTCTGGAGTCCATTGAAGCTCACACCTCCTGCTTCAGGGACTCCATCCAGCCCCCTCCTTCTCTGTCATTGTCCCCTTCTTCTCTTGCCCTCCATCTTTTCCAGCATCGGGCTCTTCTCCAGGGAGTCCTTCCTTCTCATTAGGTGGCCAAAGGACTTGAGTTTCAACTTCAGGATCTGGCCTTCTAAAGAGCAGTCGGGGTTGATCTCCTCCAGGACTGACCGGTTGGATCGCCTTCAGTCCAGGGGACTCGCCGGAGTCTTCTCCAGCACCAGAGTTCAAAGGCCTCCATTCTTTGGTGCTCAGCCTTTCTTATGGTCCAACTTTCACAGCCATACTGGGAAAACTTTACTGAAAATCTACATTGGCACAGAAGAAGTGAAACCAGCTCTGGTTTTCCCGCTCGAAGGCTTGCTTAGTTAAACAATAAGACTCCCTCATCCCCGCCCACCGGGTGTGTTCTTATTGTCCAATAGTAATATTTCTTCTTGTTATGGAAACAGTCCGCTCCTCCATCAGCACCTGCGTTAGTGACCTTGGCATCCGTGCAGGCTCTCAAAAGGACGCCTCGGTTGCCTAGATACCATCCCTCCCGCCTTTGCCTTCCATGCCATTGTCAAGCTGTGAGCGAGGGAGGAAACGCAAGGGAAAGGGCGAATCAGTCTTGACCATTTTTAGACGTCGATCGGGTGGGTCAGTGGCTGGCTTTTGGCCGTCGTGCCCCTGTCGGAGCCCGACTCCACCGAGTAGAAAGATGAGCCAGAACTGGAGCCAACGGAGATCGAAGGGGAGGCGTCCTCGGCTTCGGAGGAAGATGGGGGAGGACCAGGCCGAGGCAGGCCAGGGCCTTTCAGGATTGGGACGGCTCGTAGGCAGGGAGGAACAGCTTCCAAGTTCCAGTAAGATCGGCCAGGTGCAGACATCTGTCGACACAGGTATATGCTGTGATGCAAAGTGTAAAAGAAAGGGTGTTTTCTCTCGACCCAGCCAGGAAAAGCCAACTCTCTAATTCCCCTCTGGGTGCCTTGCTGTCACCGCTGCCTTGTTTCGTTCTTGTTTCAGTCAGAATTTATTCATTTGTTCATTAATCAAATTTACACAGCTGTCCACTGAATCTGGGGGACGCACAGCCAAATCCTCCTCCTTTCTCTCTTTTCAGTGGACAGTTGACTGCAACCAGGAGATAGAAAGCAGCATGTCCAGCTACAGAGGCAAGGGGTCAGCACCCCACAATCAAAACCAGGTAAGAAAAACTGGATTTTTTTCAATGCAGAAAAACATCCTTTACTACCAATAGGAGTAGGAATAAACTTAGGAATAAACTGTGGGGTCCTTGGTGCTCTCTGAGCTTGGCTGGGGTTTTCTTGCGGACATTTCATTACCTAATTAGGTAACATCATCAGTGCTATTCCTATCCTATCCTATCCTATCCTGTCCTATCCTATCCTATCCTTTTCTATATGTTTCTAATGGAGCTAAACCAGTGGTTCTCAACCTGTGGGTCGGGACCCCATTTGGGGTCGATCGACCATTTCACGGGGGTCGCCAAGCAAGGCTGTCTGCCATTTTTTTTGTCCGCCATTTTTTCCCCCTTTTCCGGTGGGTGCCTTACCTCCCTTGGGCTGGGCCAGCTGGTGGTCGGCCTGCTCCGTCTCTGCCGCTTGCCAGCTGCACCTCGGCCGGCGCAGGGGGCGGAACCACGCATGCGCGGCGCTCCTGGGCAGGGAAAGTCCTCGACTTACGACTGGTTTACTCCTCGACTTACGACCGGTTGGGGTCGCGGCATTAAAAAGGTTGAGAACCACTGAGCTAAACGATCCTATGGATGCAGCCATTCTGTTTGTTGGAAGCTTTACAGGACGTTGTCGACTTAACAACCATTCAGAGTTACAATGGCATTGAAAAAGAAGTAACTAAAACCCATCCTTGCATTTAACAACCCTCACAGCATCCACACAGTCATTGGATTAAAATTTGGGGGCCTGGCAGTGGGAAACTCTGATCCCAATTGCGGCTGTAAATTGAGGATTACTTCAATATCAGGACTTAGCGGCTTTCAAAATGATGCCAGTTTTTAAGTGAGTTTTGCCCCATCTTACGCCCTTTCTCGCCACGGTTGTTACGTGAATCTGGCTTCCCCCGTTGACTTTGCTGGTCAGAAGGTCGCAAAAGGAGGTCACGTGACCCCAAGACTCTGCAACCATCATAAATATGAATAAGTGGCCAAGCGTATGAATTTTGATCATGTGCTCACAATGGTTGCAAGTGTCAAAAACGGGCATAAGTCACTTTTTTCCAGTGAGTCTGTAACTTTGAATGGTCACTAAAGCAAGCTGTTGTAAGTCAGGGACCGCCTGTATTAAAAACTGCTGCAAAGCAAACATTTAACACGGAAGGAAACATCTTGATTTTCTTGTTTGCTTTCTCTTTTTTTTTTTAAAGAACGGCAACAAAAACAGCTCCCTGGACATGCTGGGAACGGATATCTGGGCAGCCAACACCCTGGAGCCCTTCAGGTAAGCCCCCCTGCAGACTGTGTGATTGCCCAAGTACTTGGGCACCTCGGCACTCGGCTGCTTTGAAACTCATCGAGTATGGTACCCGACACGTTTTTGATGTGAACATTTTGTCCCGGTACTCGTTGTTTGTTTGGTACTCAACGCACAAGCTAGAACTTGTTGGCTGCCTTGTGACTCATGATGTTATTCCTTCTGGGAAAGATTTGTTTGGTACTCATCCGTTTTGGTACTCATTGTACCAAAAGGTATCACTGTATTCCACAGTTAAAGCTCCAGTACCTGTATATTTATCTGTCCGTCCGTCCATCCATCCATCCATCCATCCATCCATCCATCCATTTATCTTCTCTCTATATATATATATTTATCATCTGTCTATGTTCTATCATCTATATATCTATCATCTATCTGTGATCTGTCATCTATGATCTACCTACCTATCTATCTATCTATCTATCTATTTATCTATCTATCTATCTATCTATCTATCTATCTATCTATCTATCTCTGTCTATCATATCCATCTATCTTATCTATCTATCTCCACTTATCTTCTCTCACTCTCTCTGTATCTATCTCTATCTGTCTATGTTCTATCATCTCTCTCTATATATATCACCTGTCATCTTTCTATCTATCCACCCATCCATCCATTTATCTTCTCTCTCTGTATTTATCATCTGCCAGACATCTGTCTATGTTCTATCATCTCTCTATATATATATCTATCATCTATCTATCTGTCTGTCTATCATATCTATCTATCTATCTATCTATCTATCTATCTATCTATCTATCTATCTTCTCTGTATCTATCATCTGTTTGTCTATTCATGTTCTATCATCTCTCTATATACATATCTATTTCCTTCCTTCCTTCCTTCCTTCCTTCCTTCCTTCCTTCCTTCCTTCCGTGTGTGCCTAGTGCTCCCAATTCCCTGTTAAACCAAGTTACCATTTTGCACGGTCTTTCCTTCCAAATCTTCAGCCTTTCAGCCTTTCTATTTCTCCATTATTATTGTTGTTGTTCTTGTTGTTGTTGTTATTATTATTATTAATATTATTATTATTATTATTATTATTATCCTGCAGTGGGGCCACCTGGGATTTGCAACCAGAGAAACTTGACTTCACACAGTTCCACAGAAAACTCCGCAACACTCCGAAGCACCCTCTTCCACAGATAGACAGAGAAGGGTAAGTATCCTGTTTATGTGAAAGAAACAGTTTAAAATGCAGAGGGGCTGGGACTAATCGCAGAATTCTTACCCATCAGAGGACAGATATCATATTTTATAGCGCAGGGCTCTTCCAACTTGGCCCTTTGATGACTTGTGGACTTCAACTCCCAGAATTACTCAGCCAGGCACGCAAGGAATTCTGGGAGTTGAAGTCCACAAGTCATCAAAGGGCCAAGTTGGAAGACCCCTGTTATAGTGTGAGACATGGACTAATCCATCTGAATCCAAAGTCCTGTTACCAGCTGTGTCTTGATGTCAACTCACACGTTCCTGTTTTGATCTGGTGTAAATATTACCAAACACAGATCCATTTATTCCGCAGCTCGATCATTTGGGTGTATCATTTAAAATGAAGATAATAGGAACTATTTCATAAATCTCTCTCTTCTCCTATTTATGTTAACTGAGAGTGGGAGGAAGCCCCACAAAACAAAAAGCTTTGGAGAAAAATGTTCTATAATAATAATAATAATAATAATAATAATAATAATAATAATAATAATAATAATAATAA